TCACAGATTTTGGACCAAAATTCCACTATATATAGTCGTCCGCTTCCTATCCATCTATCCCCTCAATCTATGAAGTGTTGAACCATCCTAAAACACCTATATAGATAACTAAACCTTTTTTCCAATTTTCCCTAAACCAAAATGTACACTGATACATTGAGCTGGTGGTTCAAAAGGTCCATTGGTGACATAGAACAGGTTCTTCCATATTATGTTGTCGTGAATTATTAATTGCACTTGTCTTACATTATTATAATATATATATATATATATATAATAGATTCAGATAGTAATATTCTGATGTTAAGAGATAAAAAGTTGATTAATAAACATTAATTTCAAGTATTTGATGATTGTGGGCAAATCTCAAAAAATTGTAATGATATTATCATCTCAGAAAAAAGCGGAAACAAACGGGCCGCGAAGCTACCAGAGCGTGGCCCTGATCGTGGGCGTGACAGGCATAGCTGGCAGTGGCCTGGCCGAGACCCTATCTTACGGCGACACCCCTGGCGGCCCCTGGAAGGTCTACGGAGTCGGGCGCCGGTCATGCCCCGACTGGCTCACCACCCTCAACGTGATCTACGTCCAGTGCGACATCACCAATACGCAAGAAACCCACTCCAAACTCTCCCCTCTCACCGACATCACACACGTCTTCTACGTCTCGTGGACGGGCTCAGAGGACTGCCAGCTCAACGCCTTAATGTTCCGGAACATTCTCGACTCGGTCGTCCCCAACTGCCCCAATCTCAAGCACCTCGCCCTCCAGACAGGGATCAAGTATTACTGGGGAAACATGGCCGAGATGGACAGCACGAACGAGCCCCACGACTGCCCCTATTACGAGAACCTCCCCAGGCTGAAGCAGGACAACTTCTATTACGACCTCGAGGACTTGGTGTACGAGACGGCCCTGAGGAAGAGCATGCTGACGTGGTCCATCCACCGGCCGGCGCTCATCTTCGGCTTCTCCCCGTGCAGTATGATGAACACGGTGAGCACGCTGTGCGTGTACGCGGCCATCTGCAAGCACGAGGGGAGGCCGCTCGTGTACACAGGGACCTATGTCTCGTGGACGTGCCTCTGGGACGCTGTCGACTCGGAGCTGCTGGCCGAGCACTTTGTGTGGGCCGCTACGTGTCCCGAGGCGAAGAACCAAGCGTTTAATGTGAACAACGGGGACGTGTTCAAGTGGAAGCATCTGTGGGGTGTGCTGGCCAAGGAGTTCGATTTGGAAGCGGTGGGGTACGAGGAGGGGAAAGAGCCGGTTTTGCTGGAGGACGTGATGAAAGACAAGGACAAGGTGTGGGACGAGATCGTGAGGGAGAACGGATTGGTGCCCACGAGGCTGAGGGAGATAGCAGCCTTCTGGCTGGCCGACGTCGTGTTTAGGAATAAGGAGACTCTATGCAGCATGAACAAGAATAAGGAGTTTGGTTTTCTGGGCTTCAGGGACACCACAAAGTCGTTTCTCAATTGTATCAAGAAGATGAGAGCGTATAAGTTTATTCCTTGAGTGTGTGTTTGACTCAATGGGAGATAGCAGCCTTCGTTCATTGTTGTTTGAGTGTGTGTTTGACTCAATGTTGGTTCATGTTCGTGATTTTGTATCTNTATATATATATATATATATATATATAGGATTTAGTTCAAATGAGAACTAAGTCCTAGCGTGAGAACCGTGAGAACCGCTATTTTTAATTGTATGTAGTGCTATGATTGATTGCATTTTAGTGCTATTTTTAATCATGATGTATTTTATTAAAAATAGCAACACAATTTATGTTAGTATTTGTAAAAATGATAGCACCATGTGAGATTAAAAATAGCATCGTACACAATTAAAAATAGCATCAAATATAGTTCTCACGGTTCTCACACCAGGACTAGTTTTTATTTGAACCAACCCCTATATATATATATATATGATATTGTGCACGCACGCCTGCCATGCCCTAGTCCCAGTCCCGACTGTCTGCTCGCACGCTCCACCACCCGAGTTCCTCTCGCCCGTCCGCCTTGCTGCGCACGCCTGCCGTGCCCTAGTCCTAGCAGGAGTAGGAGACACACAGCACGCGCCCTAGTCCTTGCAGGAGTAGAAGACACGCAGAGCGCGCCACCCGCACGCGCCCGAAGGTCCCGCGCACCGCCTGCGCCCGTCCGCTTGTCCGCGTAAATTAGCCAGCGCCCGACGCGCCCAGTCCGTGACACCCGACCAACTGAAACGCATCACCGCCGAGCCGCAGCGAGTCCAACCGAGGTCCGATCGAGCTCAGCCGCGACCCGACCGAGCTGAACCAGTTCCGACCGGTCCGAGCCCGACGAGCCTTGACCCGAAGATCCGTTCGTGATCCAATGACTCGATCAGAATCGAGAAAGGCCAAGTCCGATAGCCCATCGGACTCTGGTCTTCAGACGATCTCCATCAACGGAAATCAGAAATGTCTCAAGGTCGGCAAAAATTTTAAACGGTAACGTCATAACCCTAACTATAGCGTTAGGGTTTATTTTACCAAATTCAAACGTGCATGTTGTTGACGTTCCTAACAGAACCCAATACTACAAAGCGGGGTCGACACTAGGATTGCGTAGATACCAGGCTCGACGAAGAATAGAGTTAGTAAGAGTAATGTGAAGGACAGCTTTTCAGAACGGCACTTCGGTTCCTTGAAAGACGATGTCGACCTCAATCAGATGCCGGACATGAAAAAAGAGATCTCAAAGATCAGTACAAGGGGATAGCTCAAGTCTAGGTGAAGGTCTGACCTGGAGGTTCGTCAAGGCCGGCTCTGGCACGTGCATAGGATCTGAAAATCGAATAATATTGCAACTTGTCAAGTGATAATTGCTGATGGGACGTGCCACCCTAGTATGCCTAGATCAATACGGCGGTCTGTCAGCATTAAATGCTTCACATGGGTGCATTTATGTCTGACAGATAATGATTGGAAGAACCTCCGATTTCATTCAATGCTCGTCAGAACGGCAGTGAGCCTGTCATTTCGAAGTGACAGGGTGAACAGTACCCGTTTTATGTTACTATAAATAGGAATTCACCATAATTTATTGGGGGTTGTTGATCTCTCTACCAATTCTTTCTCACCTTACATTTACTCTGTAATAAAGACTGTAATTATTTCCCAGTATAAGTAAAGAGCCGACCTCGATATCAGAGGCGACCTCGTAATTAACATAATAAAGCTAGTTTTCTTTGCAAATCCTCGTTTATCCTACATTTTTCTACCCTGAATCTTCACTAAATCCTTATTTTAACTATTGACTGATTCTGATCGTCAACAACTCTCTCTCTCCATTCCCGTAAAATCCCCAATTCTAAAAACCTAGCCTCTCTTTTTCAGACTGAGCCTTCCCTTAGCACGACTCTCCATGTTGTCATGGCACCGGCCGACGCTTGCCCGAGCGACTTGTCTCCCAAAGTCCAGTCTTACCTCCCTTGTGTATCTTTCGCCTCTTGATTTTGGTTGGCTATGGCGTGTTTAGGAACGGGCTCCCGCCGTCGTGTCGTTGGCTCCAACCTTTTCTTTGTGATGGTTGGAATTGAGGTCAGAGGCTTCTTCTCCTTCGTTTCCCTAGTGTTGGGCTGAAGGAATTTGCCGGCATGGTTGGTCTATGGTTTGGTTTGAGTTTCGGGCACGGGTCGTCGATGGTGTTGGGGTGGAAGTTGGTGAAGACCTCTAGTTGCTGGTTTGGGGGTCATCCACTTGGGCGAGGAGTGGGGTCCGCTGGTTTTGGATCTAGCTAGGCGTAGAAGTACTGCAGTTTTTGGATCTGCGACATGGGCCGTATCTCTGTCTGTGGGGGTGGACGCCCTCGGGTGCCAGTGTCATGATTTAGGTCAGAGTCGCTTGTCGGCTGTGGGAAGGGCTTTATTCTTGTATCTAGTGCGTTTAATTTTGTTTGTGTTTGTGTTTGTGAATCATTCTACCATTTGAAAGGTAGCATTCATCACTTGTTAGAGCTTAGATTATTATTTTTGTAATTGTACATGGGTGTGTTTACCTTAGGCTCGGCTCTAGGCTACAGGCGTTTTCGTTGTGTATGTCTCTCGCTGATTTTATCTGTATAGCTATTTCGGTCAGCTAGTTAGAATGCTCGTAAATATGTGTTTTACTAATAATA